ACGCTGCACTTGTACCCTCCCTCATCACACTCCGTTCTCTCCATTTACCAATACTGTAAACAAAAATTAAACTGTTTTGAAAACTTACGAACCCGCTTAATCTATCTAGGCTGATGTATAGAAAACATCAATATAATGCGGTTATAACTAATACGTTAGATTTTTAAGTTATTCATCGAATCAATAAAAAAAATAAAGGCACAAAATTTTATGCCACCTATACAATTGTCACCTATATATATTTTATTTAGCTTACGGGTCTTGCAGTTAAGTACACTTGACACATCTCGCCTATTAACTTGCCTCTAGTATTTTTTTTTCTAACAGGCTACAGTGAAATAAAGCCAACGGTCCCTAATTAGAAATAATCAAATAAATCTTTAAATTCTTGAAAAAGGCCTGGTCAGAGACCGGGCCGCGGGGACGTTGATCCCCGAAATCAATGCAAGGTATCCTGAGATGATTTCGGGGCTTAGCGTCCCCGCGGCCCGGTCCTCGATCAGGCCTCCTTCTATTTACACACATCCCCCAAGAAGCAGCCCGTAGCAGCTGTCTAACTCGCTACCCATTTACTGCTAGGTGAACAGGAGCATCAGAGGTGAAAGAAACTGCCCATGTGTTTCCGCCTCCACCGGGGATCGAAAGTAACCACAAGATACATAACCAACCTCCCCTCCCCCCCCTACCCAACCACTTGGGCTGGATGGTAGAGCGACGGTCTCGCTTCATGCAGGTCGGCGTTCAATCCCCGACTGTCCAAGTGGTTGGGGGGTACCATTCCTCCCCCCCCCCACGTTCCATCCCAAATCCTTATCCTGACCCCTTCCCAGTGCTATATAGTCGTAATGGCATGGCGCTTTCCCCTGAAAACTCCGACTCTTTCCCCCCCCCCCCCATCCCGCATCTCTTCCTGTTATTAAACAAGATGTATAAATGATTGGAATCGGATTTGTCTTGGTCTACTTTAAATATATATCATTCACAACTTGTGCGTATATGATCGTAATCAATAGGACGTGCAATGAAATTATTTACCGTTTAGCAAATTTATTTCCAGTTAAAGGTAAAAACGAAACATATTTCAAAAATATGAAATTACATTAAAAAAAATAGGAAGGCTGTTCATCATCAGTGTTGCGCGTCGGTTAAAAATATATATAATTTAACTATCTACTCGCGATAAAAAAATGATTAGTGTGTTGTAATTTAGTAACATTACTTCTACGTAACCCAACTGATGAAGATGGCACTAGAAACACCGACAACCAACCAACCAACCAACCAACCAACCACGATTGTGTCTATTAAGCGCGCACTCATGACTTACCTACAGGGAAGCAGGCTCATTGTGCGTGTGTCAGCATGCGACAATTGGTAGTGCATATATCTTATAAAAATAAATGTAAATTATGGAGAGAAATCGTACGTGGACTAAAAGAATTCGGAACCAGTTTGGCAAACGAAGAATTTTTTTGGGACTTGTTCGGGCGAACTAGTACGAACCGGCTGAATTACGAACTGGCTGAATTACCACTGGTGGGGTCTTCCCCCCCCCCCCCCCCCCACCTCATCTAATTCAAGGACAAATGCTCATTAATCCAAACCACTTTTTTAAAAGATCAAATGTAACTCGCATACAGGGCAACAGTTATCCTCCGAAGCGATAAATGTCGCAATTCAGCCGGAAATAGTCATCAATAATGGGGCACCATTGACAAGCTGCCGGCTTCCTGTCCCCCGGAAGGTCATTAGAACTTTATATAGTACGATGGACGTGTACTCTAATATTGTAATTAGTGTAATAGCACTATTAAGTGCTATTAGCACTATTAGCAAGAGCACTACTGCTCTTGGTTTAATATAGTATGGCCGCCATACCCAACCTTGGAGTGAGGGGCAGAAAGGTATATGTAATGAACCCGAATCATCTTTATCTCAATCAATAGAGCGTGGAATGAAATTATTTACATTTTAGCAAGTTAGTTTTTACTTTTGGTTACATATAAGTTACTTATTAATTAGTTCTGTGTTAAATATAGCTTCAAAATTATTATGCACCCACCCATCCAGTGGACGGTTGTGGAAAGGTTACATTCGCTACCCACACTAAACAATCTTGGTACAATTGATTGTTTCCTGATGATACTTCATCTTAAGTGAAATATTTAGGAATTTCTTAAACATTTGTAATAGTTATTTCTGAAGTCTTTAATTGGGAGATGTTTTCCTCAAACTTACTGCGTCACTTCTGCTTACTAAATACAATCATACAAATTAAACATTTACGAACTGTTTTGTTTTATCTTCTACCACAGACGTGACTATTCATTTACAATGCATTGTATATTCTGGATACTCTACTGGGATATGCTTATCTATTTCTTGCTATTTATTTATATATCATCTATTTATTGGGTTCTTGAGTTTGGCGAGTGTTAGGCTCTTGTGCTTTGGTTTGGCTCACTCACTCACTCACTCACTCACTCACTCTGGTATTATAAATACTTAAGAAATGTTACAAATAACATAAGAATTTCTTTAAATTAGGCAGTTTGTTTATGGAAATCGTATCACCATTTGACGCAAACTGCACTCGAATGATTAAGAAAAGTTTATTCTTTCTCCATTTCATATCGCTTCAATCATGGTTTAATTTTCTGGCATTACTTGGTGTAAAGTACCTCCTTTGCTCCATCTCCGTGAAATGCCCGAGTTTCAAGTATGATCGCTAATCCAAGGACTGAATGCTACGCGCGGGCACGCACTCATGCACGCACCCACACGCCCCAACCACACTCACTTTCCCTCATATTTATTCATTCATTCATGTATTGCATTCTGGACACATTACGGGAGACATCTCCTGTCACGCAGGGTGCAGTCACACCTCCACAGATCTCCAGTATCATCTATTGATACTGGTAATGGCTCCAAAGGGCCACCGCTTACGGGCTATTCATGCCCATGCCACCTTTTGCGTGGCTTTATCTTCATCAATCAATCAATCTATTGTATTCTAAGTAGTCTTGCAGAATGGAGGACCATCCTGGGTTTTCTGTGAAACCTTAAATCTCCAATCTTTCAAAAGCCATCTATCTGTGTTGCTATATTTTGCGCTGTCATTGACCTAGTAATACAAAAAACAAAAACATTTGGGGATAATACAGTAGTGCATTTGAACTCAAACCCAGGCGGGGAAGAGTGATTGGATAAGGTTTGAGGTGTTGCTTGTGTACACATGTGTAGGCCCAGCCTGGATGGTACCGTACATCTTAATTTAATCAGGATACACTCGCTGAGTCAGAGGCTGCCCCACTGCTACCAGCATCTCATTCTGATAGATTTAAGCCACCCAAGAGGTGGCACGGGCATGAATAACCCGTAATTAGGCACTCTGGAACATCTTCATCTATATAATACAGTATATCTATCTATCTCTCTCTATAATGTACCTAATAGCCAGTTGCCTAAACAAGCCGAATTTTCGTGAATTTATTTAATTTTCCAAAAGTTTCTTGATAGTTTTTCATTGTATTAGTCAGGCAGATCACAAAGAAATCACAATGATGTGATATCAATGAAAAAATCATTTTGGGTCATTTTGTGATCTGAAAGAGGAAAAGAGGGGCATAAGGGTATGAACATAATTATTCACAGGCCAGAGTGTTGGCGGGCTTAACATAAAATCCTGGTTATCTTGAGGTCATCTCGAGATGATTTCGGGGCCTTTTTTTTTTTTTTTTTTTTTTTTTTTTTTTTTTTTTTTTTCTCCCCGCGGCCCGGTCCTCGACCAGGCCTCCACCCCCAGGAAGCAGCCCGTGACAGCTGACTAACACCCAGGTACCTATTTTACTGCTAGGTAACAGGGGCATAGGGTGAAAGAAACTCTGCCCTTTGTTTCTTGCCGGCACCTGGGATCGAACCCAGGACCACAGGATCACAAGTCCAGCGTGCTGTCCGCTCGGCCGACTGGCTCCCGAGCGGTTGTGCTGGATGAGCATGCGTGTGCATGCACTGTATACATATTTACTTTTTTTTTTTAATAAAATATGTCTTGACAACAATTCAGTCTTTCTTGATGCTGTGTCAACACCTTTAACAAAAAAAAAATCGGCATTTAATTCATTATCCCATAGCCAATAATTTTTTATCATGCACCCAATTAATTACAGTAAAGTACTAGCAAGGCAAGTTTTATAAGAGCTATTGCACTAACTAAAGTTTGACAATGGTAATGCGTGATCCAATAATCCACGATGAACAGCTCAATGAAGAGTGTATGGAAAATAAAAGCGTTTCTCCGCCCACTGGGGTGAGAGAGACGTGTCTGCAGTTTCTACGGTTACAGATGACCCGTATTGGCACATTGCCTAGAGACATGAGGTAGGTGGAGTCTTGCAAGTACTGTACTTGAGTTTATTTTTAATGTAGTGATGCAGAGGTATTCTAATGTTCATGTATCGGTGCTAAGGTTATGTTTTAACTTTGATCTAGTTGGCTGTGTTATACAAAAGATGTGTGAAATCATTGTTTTTATTTAATTCTGCTATCATTTTAATTGTTTCACATTTTTAATTTTATTTTTATATTTCAGTTGACCAGTTTTGTTTAAAAAGAAAAACATTTACCAGAAAATAACTGGATTTTGTAATTTACTATATTACCATTTCATGATCATACTTGGCTGAAATACTTGTATATACAGTACTGTACTTCATCATTTTGCAAAAATAAATCTCGCATAAATGACAGTACTATATATAATGCCCAAGTTTTGTAAGTAGTTTGAGAAAATTATACCTTACACTCTATGTGTATACAGTACAGTACTGTACAGTATACAGTATACTTGATGGGGATCAGGACTCTTGCTGATTATTTTGTCTATCGCTTTAATGTTTGTTTTAAAATGTGCATATCCAGGATGTTACATATACCTATTACCATTGTCAGTTTTCTTGAAGCTATATGAAGCTAATCTCTTAATGTTCTTTCCACAGGGGTTTGTACCGCTACCTCAGATTATTGAAGAGGATTCACCATGCCAAGAGGAATAACCTTAGCGTACCAAAAATTTTCCAAGAGGTTGTGCGGAAAAATAGAAACAAAGTAGCATTTTATTTTGAAGATGAGACGTGGACTTTTCAACAGGTGAAACTAAATACAGTATAGAAAAAATTAGTGGTCTTGTTCTTGAAATGAGATTGTGTGTAGAATCTACCAAAAATCTCTTCTTGTACAGATATAGAAAGAGTTACACAGCATAGAATCAATAATGATTTTGATGGTTATCTTGGTCCATCTACCGCAGATTAAGCTTTGTTATGCTGATCGAAATTAGTAACATTTTGTTAATTTTATGATCTTATAATCTAGAAATATCAACACTTCAGTAAGCAGTGGTTATATTTATACCCAATTGTTTTCAGGTTGATGAACTGAGTAACAAAGTTGGTAATTATTTTGCTGCGAAAGGTGTGAAACATGGCGATCCTGTTGCACTGTTCATGGAGAATTGCGTGGAATATGTGTGCATATGGCTAGGCCTCACAAAAGTAAGTGTCATTCATTGTTGTGCTAACATTAGTTGATATTGAATAAGAAGAGTTAAGAGGCCTACGTGCAAGTGGTTGGGCACCATTCCTTAACCCCCAGTCCCATGCCAAATAATTATCCTGACCCCTTCCAAGTGCTATATAGTCATAATGACTTGGCACTTTCAAATGATAATTCCCTCCCCTTCCACTTAGCGTGTAAAGGAGGAATGTATATGTTTATCTCTCAGAATGTTCGGTAATATGTTTATTGTTTGTCATGTGTGTCTATGTATGTATTAACACGATGTACTGAACGGGGTGATAATAGCTTGAGTTACCTCATCCCTTTGTGTGTATTTTACCTCAATAAACTTGTTTCAATTTCAATTTCTTCCACTTAGCCTACAAGTATCATTAACATTTAAGAGCCATCTTATTCATGAGTCTGGATTCATTACTTCTAAGTGAACCAGAAAGGTACTTCTCCCTCATTTGGCTTTAATGTTTGTTTACCAGTTGGATATTTCCAGTAAGCTGCTTGGAACTGGACACGTTGAGATTCAGGAAGTCTGTACCTGGGAGAGTTAGGACCTGATTGCTTTAATTTTTTCATTTGATACCTCCTTCTATGAAATTTTAGCATTTTTCTAATATTTGCAATATACTGAATTACAGATAGAAATGAAAGTTTTATGTGCGCATTATTTAATGTTTTGATGTAATTTTTTTGGAATGTCTATTTTTTTTTCATGTATGATCCTCGAAAACTTGTGTGTTGTTGGAGAATTGTTTGAATGAAATTGGGAATTAATTTCATTATCATAGCCTTTTTTGCCCTCGAAATATAAGTTCTAAATATATGTCTGTAGTTCCCCAAAATCCCAAGGGCAAAAGATTATCACAGAATTTATGGTTTCATTGTAGATTGGCGCTATACCAGCCTTGATAAATTACAACCTTCGTTTTGACTCGCTGAAACACTGTATCAATGTGGCTGCTTGCAAAGCTGTAATTTGTGGAGCAAACATTCAGGCAGGTGAGTCATTAAAAGTACCAGTAATTTACTTGCAAAGTAAGTCAATACCATACGGTACTGACTTAATATAGTATTCATGCAGGTTCTGTAATTCATTTCATAACAGACATAATGTTATAATGTATAGATAGATAAATATATAATATATAATATAATATACTTGAGTATTTAACTTGAAGCTTTGTTCAATTATTTTATTAAAGCATTTTGCTCAAACTAGAAAACATATCTGAAGTAAATATAATAGCCTTATATACATATTGTAACTAAATAATGTATAGCAAAAGAACTTTTATGTTGAACCTGCATACAGTGTGTTGCACTCTAAACTTTAATATGAAAATAACATGAATCTTTATTTTTTTATTTTTCAGCCTTGGCTGAGGCTAGAGAAAGTGATGACTTGTCCAACCTTCCTGTATATGTATTTGGCACTGGTGAAAATGAGCTCATCCTCAAAGGTATATGGATGATTGTTTTAATTATAAGTGAATTTGATGAGTAATTTTTTTTTTTACCTTCGTTATTTATACATAAGAATTCTAAATGTAGACAATATTCACTGTTCAATATCAACGTTGCAGGATAGCCCCATTTGAAAATGGGAAGAAAAGTGCAGTATCCACATACAAGACATAAAAGGAAAATAATCCAAGTACTTTTTGTGATTTAATACATTTTCTAAGAGTAAAGTAAGATTAATAAAACAAGAGTGTGGGCTTGAATACCCCCCTCCCCTGCCCCACACACACACATCTGAATAGGTTAAGAAACATAATACTAAATAATGGAAGTAACATGATGGGAATAAGCCTTCTGCATCTAGGTACAGTACTTGAACATGTAGACAAAGATTGACGAGAGTTTATCTCACGGATTATGAAAATCCTTCAAGAAAGCTGTATCTGCTTTCTCTACAATGACGGACATTGGGACAACTTCTTAATACCCTCTTATTTACCTAATAACATTATACAGTTGCTCCATGGGCTTTGTGAAGGCTCTTTTTTTTCAAGATTTTTGTTTTTAATTAATATAATCTTTTGAAATATTTCCTTTAAAAAATACAAACTCTGGTTAACATTGAGGCTGTTTGTAAATTTTCAGATGCTGTAAACATGGATGTTGGTATAAAGGAATCACCATCAACAACTCCTCCTCAAATTGATAGTGTGAATTTCTCTGACAAGATGGTGTTCATATACACTTCAGGCACTACTGGTATGCCTAAAGCTGCTGTTATTAAACACTCAAGGTAAGGCACAACAGGCTACCACTTTGTGAAAATGGTTTATTTAAAGTCCATGTGATATCTGGAGAATGCCTTCATGTATTAGCTTAAGACTTTCAACATTTATGTATGAGGGGGTGCAAGAACTTTTTTTGTTATTGGGCCATGGAGCTCCCTAGTGGTAGATTTTATATCTAATGTATTTAAAAAAAATGGGGGGGGGGGGAAATGTCCTTGTATAATATCTCGAACAAATAAGTATAACTGGCCCGAATTTTCTAACACAAATACAGTACGTACTTTGATGCTAGGGAATACTCCCTATAGTCTCACAAGAAATTGATACTGTAGTTACTCTTAAGTAGGTTACCTAGAATGGTTAGGGATATTTTAATAAAACTTTGAATTTAAATATCTTGGAGCCATGCCATGTAATATATAATTATCATAACCTTAATTGTTTTATAGTTGTAGTATCTTCATTGAGTAATTTAGTATAATGAATTTGTTAGCCTCTGGTCAGTATCTTTAACCCAACTAACAGAATTACTTAGGCATTCTAATTTTCAGTCTTGACCAAATGGTGACTGTTTTTATATATAGGTGCTTGTAATGTACAGTGCAACTTCAAAATTCTGAACGTTGATATTACAGCAACCTTAAAGCTATATAAAGAGCAGGGACCTGATGATTTAAATGTTTACTAAAAATTGGGACCCATTTTGCATCATAGTAGCCTATCTTATTTCTGAGGCAAGGTCCCTCTGATGCACCCTGAGCACTATATAGTCCACCCAGGGTTTTTTTGTTTTGTGTTTTATCTTCTTCCCCCTGTGCGCGCGCTCTCCATCTGCCAGACTCGTGTCAACTTTTGGCTCTCACGGTGAGAATTCAACTGGTCGTGCTAGATAATTTGGCGGGGGGGAGAGAGAGTGGTGGATCTTGGCCAGTGACACCATAGTGACAAACTCTCACTACTGTAATGCAAAACCAGGGTCAATATCCTTGACAATCGCTGCAAGAGACAATTATAAATGCAAGAATCTTGTACCTTGCTCTGCTAACAGCGTCTTGTACCACAACTGTGTCGTTGGAGTTGGTAATCGTTATGTGTCTGGCTTCCTCTCTCTCTATCCTAGAGTCTGCTATGGTTAGTCATGCAAGATTTTTCTGACTCGTTTTATCATTGACTGGTTTTTTTTTTTTTTTTTTTTTTTTTTTTTTTTTTTTTTTTTTTTGCACACAGGGTATGGGGTTGGGTATTCTATGCTTCGCTGCTTGGTTTGCCAGTCATTCATGTGCCACTTACTATTTAGAGCCACTATGGATGCGTTTCAGGGTTATCTTTCCTGGCATTTTTTATTGGAGGTTAAACTGCTGTTGGGAGATCTCATGATTTTTGTGTGTCTTTTTGTGGGCCTCCAGGTCCATTTTAACCAGGGTGGGACCTCTGAATGCTTTTCAGAGTGCTTATATGTGGCTGGATAGTCGCCCTTAGGAGTCTATGGGTCATGTGAAGGCAAAATGTGCAAAATTCCTTCGAGGTTCAGAATTCACTCGAATCTGGAACAATTTAATCTTCATTTTAAAGGTTGCACTGTATGTATAAGCAAGCTAGCAGTCAAGGAATTTATGCATGATACCACAATATATGATGCATTGAAGAGTTTTTTCTTTTTTGCTTCAGTTGCTAATACAGTATTGAGTTGGTTTTCTCCATGGCATGTGCTCTTTAACAATAATTTTTCATATTTACAAATTATTTTTCAGATTGGTGAAATAATGCTTCACACTTTCAGCATTACAGTACAGTATTGACATATTGGAGCTCTAGCCATTTGTTAATGTGGCATTATTTTTTGCTTGGTTTAATTTTTTAGATTGCAATATATCTTTTTTTGTATTTATTGCACATTGAGTGTTTAGTAAAAATAAATGTAGTATTAATTTGATTTTGTTGCTTGCATTTCATGTGATGCTTCTCTTCATGGAATTCCTAAAAAAAAAAAAAAAATATATTGGGGAACTCAGGGGAGTGCTTGCAGTGACAGCTGGCCTATGCATGATTGACATAAAACCCAACGATGTGATCTACACGCCTCTTCCCCTTTACCACTTGGCTTCGGGCATTTTAGGGTCGGGCCTAGCCATCCTTGATGGGATTCCAGTGGTTATCAAACGCAAATTTTCCGTCTCGGCATATTGGAACGATTGTAATAAATACGGTTGCACGGTAAGCAGCCAGAACTATTCATAAATGGGTTAAGATATGTACTTATTTGTGGTTTAGTTGCAATATGGCTACTTGTGGCAATAGCAAATAATCGGTATTAAGTGCACTTTGATTGTGACTGTTTTTGCCATTTTCACTTGCTGTTTGTGGTTGTCTAAAATGCTTGTATTATTAACTGGAATGGGTTATGAAGAAGCTATATTACCAACCAGATGAAGAAAGTTCATGTGGAAATGCTGGAATAAATTTTGTTATACTTTAAACAAAAAAATGCACTAAAAATGGTAAGCTGCATGTGCTGTACTGTATATAGATCTACTACTTCATTTTGCTTCAGTCAATAGCACTAAATTGGCATCTAAGGATATTGCATGTATCTTTGCTCTAATAGGCAAAAGTAAACAAATAAATTTTTTATCACTAAATGCTCAGAAAAGGTACAATTAAAAGCTATACGTGTACTGTACCTGTAAACTTTATGGTAAGGTAACCTGAAGCTAAACTATTGAGGAGCATGCTAACTTGAACAGAAAACCTATTGATAGCTTGCTGAAAGAATAATTTTTATAGTTAAACACAGTTAAGCACAGAACACAGTTAAAAAAAAATGCTTAACAAGTAAATAGAACTTGTATTTTTATAATTAAATTTAATTTGGGATTATTTAAATCGAAAAGGACTGTTGACTTAAAAAAAAAATAGCTTGGGTCACTTATACGCAATATTTCGTCAAATTGAAAACAATTGTCAAAGGTAGTGGCCAGAGAATTACTGGTCCTTATAGTAGCCACATCTCAAGCACCAAATGACTGCACTTCCTGCCACTTGCCCTTATCATCATGATGTAATTCAGGCTCCAAGAGTAACTGCTGCCCTAGCCATGTACAGTATTTGCATACCAACATTTTTATGCAGTGCTCTATTCTGTATTATACAGTCTTAATTTGTTTGCTGTGTTTTAACTTTGAATCTCCTACATATATGTGAGGGCATTCACTACAACAAGTGCACTACACTATACAGTACTTTTAAATCAAAATTAACACCGCCACTATATCCTCTCCCCCCCTTGTGTGTGTGTAAATATAAATAAATTGTATATTTAGGGTGTATCCTTTATTAAATTCAGTATGAATAGTACATACCACTGCACCATATTTCTGTATTTATCTTGTATACCGGTACCATAATTTGTAATTAATTTCATCAGCATCGTCTTGTCTATATGTTTAAATGGTCTCCTGAAATTAGTTAAAATAACATGTAGATCCTTCACATTGGCACTTTTATGATTCTTTGGCAATGCAATTTTTTTATGAACACTAATAGTTTGGTTTTTCCACTTGACTAATAATTCTCATGAGGCTTCCGATTCCGATTTATATCTGCCGCATGGTACTTGACCAAGCTGAACTCTGCTGAATTTCATTCATTAGTGAGAACTCCATTCACTGAGCATATCCCAGATCTTTATACAATATAATACTTTTGCATTATTAGGAGGTAAGTATTCTTCCTAACATTTTTTTTATTTTTTATTTTGCATCACTTACAAACTTATTCATGTAGTTTTGAACACACTCCGGAATGTCATTTATGTATATGACGAGAACATTATGGGGACTAGCACGAGCCTTGCAATACTTCGCTTGTGAGTTTGCACTTATGTAAAGAGACTCCCACATGGTGTGACCCTCATAAATCTCTGCAAAGAAGTAATTTTTATTCATTCTAGCACACCATAGCAGAGTCCACTTTGCTCCTAATTACTTAATTTTCAAAATAATCTTGAGAAATAATCTAGGAAATTTTTGTTTGGCACTTTATGCATGATTTTTGGAAACTGTCTGCCCCTACTGCCTTCAAACTTTCAAGAATTGTGCATTATGCTGCTAGAACCATAAATCCATACCCACATCCACCCATCATTAACCCTTATCCACATCAGCACTCACCATAAACCCCTTATCCACATCAGCACACCATAAACCCCATATCCCCATTAGCACACCATAAACCCCTTATCCCCATCAGCACACCATAAACTCCATATCCCCATTAGCACACCATAAACTCCATATCCCCATTAGCACACCATAAACCCCATATCCCCATTAGCACACCATAAACCCCTTATCCCCATCAGCACACCATAAACCCCTTATCCCCATCAGCACACCCTTAGTGAAGAGGTGGTGGTAAACAAGGAGGCATGCATTGAAAGAAATTAAGAGCCATTTACATGCACAGCTTAGTGTTAATATTGCAAAGAAATTAAGCATCAATACATTGTAATGCACCGGATGCAAATAGGCATGGCACTGTGACCTAGATCTTGATGTGCTATAAACACTGAAAGGTAAGCGCGCACACTTGCTCATTAACTACTGTTTAATACCACCATCTCACACCCCCCACATAAACCCCACAACCACTCGATCCACATTCATTTATATCTCTTCCTATACAGTATATATATAGATACAGTATATTTCTATTTTAATGTATATATATAATGAGGAAAGAAGAAAGGTTTTTGTTTTTAGAATATTCATAATATTGTTTGTGTTGTAAGATTCACCTGCTATAGGTATGAGTGATATTATCCCCCGATCAGCTGTGACAAACACATCTTGGTTGTTAGAGTGCAGGCACCATATTACCATACTTCTATTTAGATCTAAATGTAAAGCAGGCTGGGTTCTCTCATGCTTATATCTACTAACCCTTTTCAAACATTTTTGTCATCTCTTCCCGTTCCCATTTCTACTTTTTGTAAACTTCTATGGTGATTGTGGCTTAGGACATATGGACATATATTGTGCTAATTCCAGCCATCATCTTTTCTGCTGTTACATTTCAGTATCTTGTATTCCTCACATTTTTTGAGCTAGGCTCCCTCAGTAGCTACCCTGAGTCTTGTATGTGGACCAACCCAGGGCACTAATTGTACACCAGGCTCATAATAATTTAGAGCCTCAGAAGACAACATACTTTTTCAAATTGTTTTCTCCACTAATAAAAAGGCTGGGGATCATGAAGAGCATCCCTCAACCACCCCAAGGTAAACTGCTCACTGACACACACACAAACGCTTCAAAGTGCATGAAATCCCTTTCAAACATTTCTTGTCAACTCAAAAATTGCCAAGAATTGCTCTGAAATACCAAATGCCCTGTAAACAATTGCCACCAGGTGGCAGCACTGCTGTACAAATGAGTCGGGAGTGGTGGTTATTCTTGCTCTCAAACCTGGAGGATTTGGTCACATTTTGGTTGTGATTGCCACAGATTCCTAATCACCTCGTCAGGTTTTTCACTTGTACCTTTAAGAATCTCTAAAAAGCATTAGTGAGTAACCTGGTATTTACAGCAGAACAATGTGCAATTGAACAGGGGAAAAGGGAAGAAGTTCAAAGTGCAATTCATTAAACCGTGTTGTTTGAGGATGTGTGGTAGGCAATGAAGCAAGGCAACAGGATCAATGTAGCTGAATTAATATGTTTTTGGACAAAGTATTCTTTGCTTTCTATCTATATTTTAGTAATCGAATCGGTTTGCTGGTGCATGCTAATTACTATACTTGAACAAAATGATTATTTTTATTGAAAATATGCTGTTAAGTTTTATTTGTATGATTTAATTTTGTAGTATTTTTATCGTAGGGAGATGTATTTGTAATTTATTTTACTAAAAAAATCTTTATTGGCATTTCATGTCTTAATTTTTTTGAACGAGTTAGTGGTAGGTTGTGACAACTCGTATGAAGTGTTTACTACCGTTTTCCTTCCTCGTTGCCAGGGCCTACTTTGCGGGAGAAGGCATGAGCACATTTATTGGCTTAGCTCCATCTGATATACTCTACGGTCCCCTGCCCTTATACCACACTGCGGGGGGTATCCTAGGGTTAGGCCACAGTCTTTTTACAGGCGGGGCCACAGTCCTAAAACGGAAATTCTCAGTCTCGCAATTTTGGTCTGACTGTGTAAAATACAGGTGTACGGTAAGATTTTTTTTTTTGGTTAACGAATTTAGAGGGAGTTTTGGGTAAATCTGGTGAAGGTTTTATTCTAATCAGTATTTAACTTTTACACTGATTCTGGTAATGTAATGATAAAAGGCATATTAGGTGCATGGGTTGATCTAAATCCAAAGATAATTAATGATTTGTCGTTTACTAATCCACCTAGTCACATTATAAGAATGACACATTATAAACAAATTAAATTTGTTAATTTTTCTACGATTTAATTGACTATACTTAGTACATCATTTTGTATATTGAATCGGATGATCATGTTTTGACAAATAAAACCCGTTTTATTATTTTTACTCTCTGACCGTGGAATCTTAAGAAACCAATCTTTTCTCAAGGAATAATTACCTTACCTCGTCGTTAAATTCCAATTTGTGCTCCTGAACATGATCGTTTAAGGTGCTGAAATACGTTGCTTTTCAAAGCTTGAACTTTGTGGTGAAAAAATAGTAGTTTTATGTTGTAAATTTTGTTTTTAAGAAATAATTTGGATATAATTGGTAACTTAGTATTCAAGCTGTAAAATTGTTGTATAGGTTGTGCAATATGTAAGACTTACAGTATTTTGCTTGTTGAAGGCAGTAAGAGAACATTGTGGACATCTGAGCAGTTTAGCTACGGTATTTTGATGTCTTTTCAGTTTTAATTCTACTGTGCTAAGAGGTTCCAGTTTTGTATGTGTTTATAGACAGGTATAAGATTTTGTGTGTGCTTTAAATATAGAACTTTAATATTAAAAATTTTCCTGGGCTTCAGGGTTGCAATTCTTCCTGTGTTTCTAACAAGGAGAAATAATTACATTAGAGTTGACTTTGCTCTTATTGGAAACGTGATGTGTATCTACATGGAAAAAGCCTGTTACATTACCACTTCCTAGTTTTTGCTACCCTGCATGTGCATATCAGCATGATGGAGATGTGATTTATCGAGCGTTTCCCGTGTTCCTCGACAGAATGGTATTGGTGGCACTTGGCAGGTAAACAAATTAATGCATTAGGTTTGTTTTAACAGGTATGCATTATTTTTTTTCTCTGCATGATAGGTATTTGTTCTTCACATCTGGCGTGTATTACTTAGCAGCGCTTGACCCCAGTGATGTGATATACGACCCCCTTCCGCTATACCATACTGCAGGGGGCATGCTTGGGACTGGGCAGGCTCTTCTTTATGCCTGCTCGACAGTTATTAGAGTCAAGTTCTCGGCCTCAAAATATTGGGAGGAGACCATAAGATACAGTGTCACGGTAGGAATCGAAAGGGTAACACTTGAGAGAAATTGACTCGACATTTTGCTTGGATCATGCTTAGTTTTTCTTGCGTTAGTGATTCATATATATATTTTGTGAACAATTTGATTAAAGTTTTTAGTATTTTAACATTTTGTTACTGATTTTGCTTTGTTTTAATTATATTTTGATTACCGTAATTTATCTAGATAATATTTTTCAAACTTTAACATAGGAAGCTGTGCATTTGTACTGATTCAGTTAATTGCTTTTCCCAAAACTTTGCTAAACTGATAGAAATCAACTCTATTTCTAACAATGTTTTGTGGCATCATCCTATTAGGTCCAATTGAGATATATCAGCAAAAAAGTTTTCCTTTTTGAAATGTATATATATTTTGTAAGGGGAAGGGGTATAATTTGAGGACATACAAAAGCCTCCTGCTTCCTTACTTACTGTTTATATTTGTTGTTTAAATTTTGGAATTCAGATTGAATATAATGTATAGAAATAAATTTCAAATGCGAGAGGTAATGCCAAGTGAATGGCACAACTGTTTTCAGTTTCCAGGCTCGAACAAACTAGCAAGATGTGTGCGTTATTTATTAAAAAAAAAAACATTAAATGAGACATAAAATACATAGGATAAATTCCACTCGCCAGATTAACTACAGTACTCAGCCACACTGAGTCACACTTGGGTAAACACCCTCACAATAGTAAGGTGGAAACCTCGCGAGCACACCCCCAACTCACGCCCTCAGTTGGTCAAGTCCAGGTCATCTCTGACGGTGGTGGAGACAATGACGCTACTGTCAAGGGGCTGTGATGCTTGTTTTGGTATACTCGGTGTAAACCTACCAATATACTGTGATGTAGGGCTGCCTTATTCATTTCAAACATACAATCTAGCAAGCCAAGTCCCAGTCCCTAGGGAAAGCACTCGCAAATTAACCTTTTAGGGTATGACTGACGCCTGCAGACTAGACACAAGAGTTAAATTGTATGTATACTTTATGGTTTATTAATCACAGAACCCTTACCATGGAAAAGAACCTGGCACTGCCTGTTGACATTTACTTTATGCTCACAATTACCCCTGGGGACAGGGATAAAGACTTACACTCTAAACTCCCACAAACACAATAACAGTGGAGCATGCTTAGTTGCCATCAGTAATAACTTATTAAAATAGATCGATGGCCAATACTAGGAGAGTACATACAGTTTTATCAGAGGCAAACACTCGAGACTAAACAAAACATGACTGCTAGCTGGGAGCCGGTCGGGCGAGCGGACAGCGCACTGGACTTGATTCTGTGGTCCCGGGTTTGATCCCGGGCGCCGGCGAGAAACAATGGGCAGAGTTTTTCACCCTATGCCCCTGTTACTTAGCAGTAAAATGGGTATCTGGGTGTTAGTCAGCTGTCACGGGCTGCTTCCTGGGGGTGGAGGCCTGGTCGAGGACCGGGCCGCGGGGACACTAAAAGCCCTGAAATCATCTCGAAGATAGCCCTCCAGCTTGGTTACCAATTTAATTTATATTCCCATGGTGCCTCAAAGTAGCCCAAATAATCATTCAGTAACAGTCTACTCAAACTCATTTGACCATCACCAGTTTCCTACATTGTTACACCATATACAGTATAATGTACCCGTACAATTTCTCTCAATACAGTACAGTATTTGTATTTTCTATCATCATGAAACACGGTGCATAAGGCATTAAATCTAAAAGAAAATCGACGCCTGTTCTCTGAAAATTTAAAATAGAAATGAGCCTTAGCCCAATGCAGTGTATTTATGTACACATGGGGTGTCTCTAACTTAATAACAGTTGTGGAGCAGTTAACACCTGACACTTTGTGTTGGTGTTTCTCCCTTCTCAGAGTGCTCAATTATCTCCAACTTTGCTTCTAGGGTAATTGGCCACTTCTTTAACACTGGAGAACAATCAGCATACTTCCTCTTACAATGAGCCATTACTAAAGATATTATCTTCATGAAACCACAAAAATGGTGCATACAGTGTAGGCATACAGGCCTGCACAGAGTATAAGGGTACTGCTGACTGGACCGCATGGGTTAGTTGTACATCACTCAGCCACGTAGTAATAGTAGTAACAATTTTACAAGAAGGTACAATGGGTTTGTGAGATTACATAAGATTGGTATTTTTACATTCTTGCAAAGCCACCAACACTCATGGTGTTTCAGGCAGGTCGTGAACATAAAAGTACCACCGTTCGTAGTAAAGGGATAGTGGAGCTGGCTCGTGTAGAGGATTGAGATTCTAAATGGGAGACATTGGCAGGGCATTCAAAGAGTCCGGTAGTTTGTAAATTTTGGATCCCCTGTATTTAGCCGAGAATAGCATTACATATTGATGTCAGCACAGACCAAGTCTACTTTTCCAAATTTACTGATCGTTCACTTGCAAAGCTTTTGGGTCGGAGAATGATAGTTTCAACATACTGAACTGAAGATCCACTTAATAAGAGGTGTGGCACTTATTTACTGTAGTTATACATTTTAATTGTTAATGAGATGATGACGAGTATCTGTATATTACGAAGCACTGCTGACACCTCTCTGATAAATAGGGAGCTGATGAAGCTCTTATTGCATTGCATCACCTTTTTCCGTTTTTTGCTCCATGCAAAACAGGTAGTGTAAATTTCATTAAAGAGGATAAGATTTTGTGAATATTTACCTTCTAAGCACTAATAGTACAGTATCTTGCATATCTCTGGAGATTAAACAATATGGCGATTGAAAAATTTGAGGTTGGAATTGGCGTTAAAAAAAAAAAATGTCACATTGAAAATAGACAGTGTTTTTGAGACTAGCAAAAATGCAAATATGTGACAGATTTTGCATGACATGGCAATTGTGAAGAAAACTTTGACATTGCAATAAAATTTGCCGTCAATATTATATGAACTGTTTAATATGACATTTTGTATCTTTGAGCCCTCATCTTGTCTGTAAGGAAAAATATTTTTTGTAATTTGTATAATTAGTTGTTCATAACTATACAACACCAAACAAAAATTCACAAAGAGGGTATCGGTTTCTGTACATGAAAACTGTGCATACAGTAGTCTGTATACTGGGGAACAGGAAGAAGCATTCACTACCTTATGAGTACTTTTATTATGTGAAGTGTACATGCGAGCAATAAAGGTGTTGACAGTAGGAGAAATTATTTTGCGAGCTGTATAATATTGTAATGTAAAAATGTATAATTCACACAAATTGTGGTCTACACCATAACATTAATCAACTTCTATTATTATTCAATTTACAGTGAGGAGTAACACAACTTTTGGCCATCTTAAAATATGTTTAGACAGTATTTTATTAAACATTGCAATATTTGCTTAATTTTTTAACTGAACAAAAGTGCTGATGCTGATAAAATTGGTGGAAATTTGAGAGACTGCATGTTAGCGGTAAATATTAAGGAGTCTCATTCTAGTAGATAGAAATGCCATTTGTTTCTTCAGAATTACCAGGTCTTTTGCTGTGTAGTGTTTGAGTTGCTTTGTAGTACAGTTTTTTTGTGCCCTTACTTTTTTTTGGAATTCTTCTGTGTGTTGCTTGTTTGCATGATAAGCACTAGAATATAGCATTTAATTTGATTTTATATTACATTGTGTTTTTTGGATGTAGTGGAGTCTCATTTGGAACTGAGGTACCAGTATGTATTTTTTCTTACCTCCTGCTGCTGCAAACGAAGTTCCACGTCACCCAAACATTGTTATTATATATTTATAATTGTTTTCTATAACTGGAAAACAATTGAACATACTTTTTGGTCTTGTTTTGATGTGCAACAAAAAATATACAAAATAAAATATCCCAATAAAAAAAAAGCAAAAATTGTGATCTTCATTCTGGTCAAACGCATCGTGGACTTGCGCCATTTAAAGTCTTTTGCTGTATTCAGAGTGGCAGTCGAGCACCTAGAACAGACTCCTCGCATCAGGACATCTGGTGGTCCAGGTTATGCTTGAATGGGACTCCACTATTTAGTATTTTTATTGACTCGTTGATAAATAATATCAGTTGGTTATTCTTGTAAAAAAAAATGCAATATTCTTCTGTAGTTGCAAAGCTTTGTGCTCATAATAATATCTAGTGCCCCTGCATTAACTAATAAAATAAAATAAATTAGACTAACTGCAACAATGCATATTACAAGTATAATTTTATATGTATAATTAATTTGTTTATATACATCAATAGTAGATACAGTACAGTACCAAAATTTAAACAGTGTAAACGTGTACTAGTTTACCTTTTAAAATACTAAATAATTTTGCAATAATCCTAAGTGACTGTCTAAGAATAATGTAAGTTAATGTGTAATGGTACAAAATCATCAGGTTGCACAGTACATTGGCGAGATCTGCCGCTATCTCCTCAACACGCCCGAGAAGCCGGAGGATAAACGCCATAATGTAAGTTGGAAGATCCATACGTTGGGGAAGCTACCATTTTGAATGTATGTTGCAATCATTATAATTTATATTCACAGGGTATGTTTATTTGTTCTTATGATTCAAACTTATAACTAATATTTTGTTCATACGTTCGTCTTGGGACATTTGATGCTGTTTTCTTGCCTATCCCAGTGAGTGTTGTCATGGCAGTGTTATCCACTATCCAAATCATGTTGAATTAACAAATAAATAATATCTGTCTATATCATGAACACCTTTTCCATTTTTCAGAGCAGCTACAAGAAAATAGAATACAAAAAATAGCTACAAACAAAAAAAATCCACCTAGAATATGTGAATTCCCCCCCCTCCCCCCAAAAAAAAATATATAAACATTAAATACAAGTTATAAAAAAGATATTGCTCATTATGTTTGCACCACTAAAGTACTTACGATCTTTTCTTTATAAAAATGTACTGTATGGAGGAGTTGCATATAACTAGCTTCCAAAAAAAAAATTCTATCTTGGCTTCCAAAATTCTATCTTGTTATCAATAATTGATCTTTTGAAAAGGTGATGGAACTGCTGATCGTCTAATAGTCTGTGCTGGACCTGTGTAATGTTGAAATCCACTACAGTACTTGCAAATTTGGTAGTATAAAGATATTACCAGCATACCACTAAATTTGCATTCATCAGTATAGTGCAAGTAAAAGAGCTGCCGGTTATGGCTCTTCACTTGCATTGAAACTAACTACGTTCTTACAGGTGGATTCGGAGCCGCCATCTTGGTGCCCTCATAAACAAACCATGTAGTATAATGCTATCCGTTTTCTGACTACTTCTGGCATCACGATATTCACATTTTCTGCTAATCCTTTACTGCATTTCTTTTACTTTGGTGGTTATTAACTAGAATCTAAATTAGAATGTACAGTATCAAATTGAAATTCCTTTGTAGAGTTTTCTCATGTGTTCAGATCAATATATCTTTACGTACCCATACCTCATAACTAAACATTTTGCTTTAAATCGACTGCATATACCGTATCAAAATGCGGTTAATACAGTAATTGCTGAAAGTCACACGCACATGGCATAGGTCAAGGCACAAAGATTGTTCAACAGTGTGTGTGTGTGTGTGTGTGTGTGTGTGTGTGTGTGTGTGTGTGTGTAATTACCTAAGTGTAATTACCTAAGTGTAGTTACAGGATGAGAGCTACGCTCGTGGTGTCCCGTCTTCCCAGCACTCTTTGTCATATAACGCTTTGAAACTACTGACGGTCTTGGCCTCCACCACCTTCTCACTTAACTTGTTCCAACCGTCTACCACTCTATTTGCGAAGGTGAATTTTCTTATATTTCTTCGGCATCTGTGTTTAGCTAGTTTAAATCTATGGCCTCTTGTTCTTGAAGTTCCAGGTCTCAGGAAGTCTTCCCTGTCGATTTTATCAATTCCTGTTACTATTTTGTACGTAGTGATCATACCACCTCTTTTTCTTCTGTCTTCTAGTTTTGGCATATTTAATGCTTCTAACCTCTCCTCGTAGCTCTTGCCCTTCAGTTCTGGGAGCCACTTAGTAGCATGTCTTTGCACCTTTTCCAGTTTGTTGATGTGCTTCTTAAGATATGGGCACCACACAACAGCTGCATATTCTAGCTTTGGCCTAACAAAAGTCATGAACAATTTCTTTAGTATATCGCCATCCATGTATTTAAATGCAATTCTGAAGTTAGAAAGCATTGCATAGGCTCCTTGCACAATATTCTTAATGTGGTCCTCAGGTGATAGTTTTCTATCTAGAACCACTCCTAGATCTCTTTCTTTATCAGAATTCTTTAAAGATTTCTCACATAATATGTGTGTGTGTGTGTGTGTGTGTGTAAATTAGAGCCAGAACAGGAAAACCATGTACAGTAATGTAAATAAACTCAAAATAAATAAACTGTAAAGTATAAGAAAAGAAAATTGTAATGGAAATGTTGATACCTTTATTTAGAATAAGGTTTACCTTTCAACATTTGATACACCATTAAATCATGCTGTAGTATGAGCCACCCAAGGAAAGCAGCGAATCCCAAGGATTTTTTACTTAGTTTTTTTTTTTATGAGCATGTATCGTTGGTCAGTCCTCTATTTGAAATTAGAATAAATGCATGTACAATTATTAGTGCAGAATTTTTGTAATTATTGCAAAGTTGCTCACTAAAAGTTTGGATTTTTTTTTTTTTACAAGTTGTGTAGATCTGATTGCCACCTGAATTCCTTAGTTTTTTATGCATCCCTTCAGCAATGGTAGGAAAAGAAAACATGATATAGATGGATATTTGGCTATGTATAAAATGCTGTTAAAGCTATCTTTGATTTTTTTCTAGTGCACTAAATTTGCACCAACTTTATTCTGCTACAGTAGTTTGACCTGAACAAATGTTACTTCAAATAAGGAAAAACTTAGTCATTTAGCAACTTCTACGTACAGTAATTTGAGTATAAATATAATATACTCCGGCTGTCACTGGTGTAGGCACTCCTGCCGCCACTGGTGTAGGCACTCCTGCCGCCACTGGTGTAGGCACTCCTGCCGCCACTGGTGTAGGCACTCCTGCCGCCACTGGTGTAGGCACTCCTGCCGCCACTGGTGTAGGCACTCCTGCCGCCACTGGTGTAGGCACTCCTGCCGCCACTGGTGTAGGCACTCCTGCCGCCACTGGTGTAGGCACTCCTGCCGCCACTGGTGTAGGCACTCCTGCCGCCACTGGTGTAGGCACTCCTGCCGCCACTGGTGTAGGCACTCCTGCCGCCACTGGTGTAGGCACTCCTGCCGCCACTGGTGTAGGCACTCCTGCCGCCACTGGTGTAGGCACTCCTGCCGCCACTGGTGTAGGCACTCCTGCCGCCACTGGTGTAGGCACTCCTGCCGCCACTGGTGTAGGCACTCCTGCCGCCACTGGTGTAGGCACTCCTGCCGCCACTGGTGTAGGCACTCCTGCCGCCACTGGTGTAGGCACTCCTGCCGCCACTGGTGTAGGCACTCCTGCCGCCACTGGTGTAGGCACTCCTGCCGCCACTGGTGTAGGCACTCCTCCTTGCCTTCACCTTGCTGCTATAAAATGCAATAGCCATACGGATTATCTAGGATTTTTATGCTGATGGTAAGTGCCTACATTAGAGAGACTTGAAGCTCCATTTTCTAGTGGAAAATGTAAATGATCTTAATCAGTTTTTATTCTGAATGTCATTTTGCTGAGTTAGAAAAAAGTTGGTGTAGCTAATTTACTGTATTTGTTCATTGGAAGAATAATACCCTCATTTCCTTATCCTTTTAATGTTTACCTTTTCCTAGATCCGCTTAATGTTTGGTAATGGGCTGCGGCCTAACATATGGAAAGACTTCCAGTCGAGGTTTAGTATCCCCAGAATTAGTGAGTTCTACGGCTCGACTGAAGGGAATGCTAATATCAGTAAGTCTTTAATTAGCACCAGTTTGTGCATATTTTCCACTGATATTCTGGGATTTGGCAAATTAAATTTTGATTGAGATTTTGTTTGCTTTTTGCATATGGATAATTGTATCATGATCCATGTACATTATAGTATTACAGTACATAAATGTACAATATAAGGATCCATGTACAGTATATCTGTTTCTGTATGTAGATAACAAGTATAATAATTGAGATTAACCTTTTACAGACTGAATTGCAGTAACCTGGTTACTGCTTCCTTCATGTTCGAATTTGAACAATTAATTAAAAAAAATGTATGATGCAATTGTAAAAGGATTACATACTTTATTTTGTAACTCGAATACTTGTTCTCTATCTCTATAATTAGCCAAATTATAGATTTAGCAATGGTATTGTAGTCTTGCACTTGTCATCTAGTTCCTACAGTTTGCCATAGTGACCTACCATAATATTTTATATGAGGATTCTGTAATAATATATCTTGAAAAAAAATTAACTGTAAAACAAATAATTTAATCGACATTTATAAAAAAAATACATATTTCAAACTATAACTTTCCCAGGACAGTACAGTAGATACTTTGTTAATGAGTGTTCATGTAACAAAGAATATTTGTGATCGGGTATTTCCCATTGTGCCCTTTCATTACGAATGTGAAAGTCGTACAAACAAGATGTTTGTAGTTTCGTGCAAATGCAAAAAAAAATAAAAAATTTTTAGTAATACTGCATGTGTTTATCATCTGGAGGGCTTGTGGACAAAAATTAGTCTTACAATATATTGACACGCCACAAATGTGAAGTGAGGAAAGGACTGAATCCTGACAAGCGAGTAGAGAAGCTGTAACTGATATCCAGAGTCCTAAAGGAAAGGACCTGGATGAGTGGCCTCAGCTTCTCCCTATTGAGGCAATGAACTGCCGGAGTAGTTTCTGGAATTTTTTGTTTGGTGCATTCTTGTTTTATTTTTATACAGTTGCACAATCACGGCTCCTTTTGAGCCCTCTGGCACATTACAACTATTCCAAGCCTTTTAGTAAATTTTCTATACCATTCCTCAACTTTTTCTCCTCAATATTTAATAATTTCTGTATACAGTACTGATATACCTAATCCTTATGTTTCCTAACATTTCAGCTTCATTTGTGTACTCGCTGCTTCCTTGGATACATCAACTGATGTACAATCTTGTACTCTTCTCTCACCAAATTCAATCACGTTTACATTGGCACCTCTTTCATCACTTCCACCCATTTGATTTTCAAATTACTTTTTAGTCTCCTCTTCACCATTAAACATTCTCCTATATCTCTCTTTTTAATACAGTATTTCCATTTACCTTCTCACCAATGTCTCTGCTATACATTATTTCTTTCCAAGAGATCTTATTTTCTTAATTTACTTGAATTTCATTCATTCACTTATTTATCATCCTCATATTCTGTTCTCAACTGTGCAACCTGGGTTAGCTCAACCATGAGTGGTTGAAATATATTTGTGGATCATAAACACAAAATTGACCCATTTTTTTGCACAAACTTCATAAAATTGCAGTAATAAACCTAATTTATAACAGCATTTCATAGTATACAGTATTTCGTTTGAAGTCAGTCGGTTGAATTTTTATGCCAATGGCAAGAGTTGAGGTACAGTACTGTAACAGTTTAATAATTTTGTAAAAGCATTAGAATTGTGATTTTATATATAATTAGGTGTTTTAAAGTTTTTTATATTTGTTTTAAACAGTCAATATGGATGGTAAACCTGGAGCAGTTGGCTTCGTGTCGGTGCTGTTCCCAAGTGTTTATCCTGTGGCTCTCATCAAGGTTGACGAGGACACCAGAGAAGTTGTTAGAGATGCTAATGGAATGTGCATATTATGCAAACCAGGTATGGAGACTTGTTTCCATCAGGAATATTTTCTATAATTTCTCTCTGAATACTTACATTAAATTTAATTTTTTATGTAATTAATAATAATATTTATTTTATTATGGACAATATCTCAATAATGCTGCCGAAAGATTGATGATTCTATATAACAATCTCGGTAGGAAGTTTTTTATATTGGCCAAATTGCTAGTGTCTTACTTTGTGGATATATTCTTGGGGCTGTTTGAAGTTTAACTATATAATTTAGTTGTGAAATGTATCCAAGGGATTATGTGGTGAGGTCACATTATTGTTGTTGTATTGCAGTACACTGAATGTTTTTCCTTGGCCATGGCCACTTAGTTGCTTCCCTAGTTAAGACTTGACTTTCTCTGAGTCAGAGCATAAATAAAGATTGTGTATTCCTCTGTCAACTTCAATGCAGTGGGGTCCTTTTCAGGCTGCCCCTATTAAACCATTTGCAGGGAGACATTTTAGCAATTTCTCCGTTCCTCTCTGAATTCTTGAATATTATTTAATTCCATTATACACGAATACCTCCTTCAAGCAATTATTGAAATCAATTGACTGCAAAGTATTGCAGGTGGTGGCAGTGGCCATGACACAGAGCAAACCAATATCAAACCAAACCTTCCTCTCTCTCTCCCAATTAGGAAGAGAAAGAGAGGGAAGAGGTGTGGCCAGAGGGCTGCAGGGGTGAATGGTAGTGTCCGTGTTTGTGTGGATGTGAGGCACTTGGAATGCGAGCATGACAAATTTAGACTTGAGAGTAGTAGGCATACTATAATAAGGAGTATGGCATTCAAACATCATGGTAGATATGAGGTGCATAGTTAACATATGAGTTTAATATACTGTTTGAGTCCTAGGCACATTGGGTGGATCAAGCAATTTAAGACTTATAAGGAAGACAAAGTAAAATCAATAATTTTAAGAATTGATTTAACCTTGGTTAATTTAAATAGAGTAAAGAAACACAAGATTTTTCACATCAGTTTAGTGCTTGCTTTCAAACTATGAGTCTCTTGGGCTAGCTAACTTGACCACATGGAATAATGATAATTAATGTACTATATATGGAATTACTGTAAGTTTAGTTGATTTTCTATTATTCTGTATTAAACTTTAAAAGTTAAGTGTTTTAGTGTTTTAAGTGTGCAAGTGTTTTATTATACGTAACTGATTTTCTGGAATTTAGGCTAGTAATAAATTGGTTTGTAAATGTTATTCATCACAGATCATGCTCCATGAAACATTTGTAAATCTTTATTGTTTGGTCCCCTGGTTAGGAGAACCTGGTGAGTTTATTGGCAAGATAGTAAAGGATGATCCTGTCCGAGACTTCCACGGGTATGCAGATGACAGTGCGACGAAGAAAAAGATTGTGCGGGATGTCTTCAAGAAAGGAGATTATGCCTTCCTCTCAGGTTAGTTTAAGATCTGACAATAATTCATGCCAGCCACAGAAGAGTGGTAATGTATTAATAATGTCAGGAATTTTGAAGACTCGTCTTTCAGTGCTGACAAAAGGTGAATGATTACCACAGCATCTATTATAATATATATATATATATGCAGTTCTCTGTAATATTGTTGATCCAGTTTGTATCAACAAACTTGTATCTCTTTTTTCTTTCTTTCTTTCTCTCCCCCCCCCCCCCCCCTTTTCATTCCATTCGTCTTCCCCACACACTATGGGCAAAGTTTGCTGAGCAAAATCTTAACCTCAATTTATCACAAAATGGATAACTCCCAGCAGAACCTAACTAAAAAGATTGTAGTCATCGTCATCACTTTCTTCCACATGCATACCCCAGCCTCTGAGTGTGTGTGATCCGTTTTGGTAGCTTACCCTTATCAGAGTGTTAAATTATCTCGAGCTTTTTTCTAGCGTAATGGGTTTCCTCTTCCTTGTTAGTGGTGCATCACCAATATGCTCCCTCTTCTTATCTGACATAGTTAATTTTATTTTCCCTGATGATACCAGATTACACTTACCACTTCAAAAACACATCTGCTCCAATTCCCAAAGCCAATATAAACTTGGCTACAGAGAGAGCAAAAGAGATAGAGATAGATGTAGATATAGATAAAAATAGATAGCAGGTACAGTGTCTATCTGTACATATAATGTACAAGTATCTTATTTAAAATGAGTTTAAACTTTTTGACATTTTATTTTCATCAAACCAGTTGCAATGTAAGTGGTTAACATAATGGTAAGTAGGAGTTTGCTATCTTACAATAATTGTTGTAAAGACTCACGAGTGACAGGTAAATAAGCAGCACTGCTTTTATACTGTTGGTTATATGAATGGATTAAATACTACTATATTTGGTGTAATTATGAGGTACAGTTCCCTAACAACTGGCAAAGTCCTCCTCGGTAAGACCAGACACAAGACGACCGTCGGTACACTCTGCCTGCTGAAGCTGGTCCCGAGCGGCGTATGACACAACCCACGACATGTCACACCCACATCCTAGTTCGTTACCTAGAAACGAAATGAGTACAATCTTAAGTCAGACTATATATGCATTTTTGCCAGAATTCATGTTCTGGTTCTTTTATTCTGTTTGTTGTATTTTGTAAACGCCCCACACTTTACCTGAATCAAGTAGTTGGTTATTACGATTTTCTCGTGCGTCGATTCTCCATACCGCTATTGCCTACAAAACTGTTTTGTTGATTGCGCACCAGAAACTCCTATGCGTACTGTATATTGTAATAGACACTGTTCCACCTTGTTCCCCTAATTACCTATGAAACATTCGTCCAATATGTTAGATTTTAGAATTACTGTGTGATACCTCAGAATAGGCTTTAAGATAAAATATAATGACAAATAAAATAATAAAATGTGAGAGCTAAATAAAAGTACACTAAACCTGAATGTGAATATTTGGTTATTTGGTGTTTGATGCAAGACCTTCACTCACTCTCCGCACGCCCAACCACTTGGGCTGAACGGTAGAGTGATGGTCTCGCTTTATGCAGGTCGGTATTCAATCCCCAGCCTTCCAAGTGGTTGGGCACCATTCCATCCCAAATTCTTATCCTGATCCCTTCCAAGCGCTATATACTTGTAATGGCTTGGCACTTTCTCCTGATAGTCTCCCCCATCACTCTCCGCGCCCTCTCCCTCTCATTGAACCTCTTCTAGTCAATGGTCATCTTTTGTTCATTAATCCCTTTGTGCTCATCAATCCCCTTGTACTTATTGATCTCCTTGTACTTGTTGACCACTTTGTGCTCCTAAATCACCTTGTACCCATCAATCACCTTTGCACTCATAGAAAAGAGATACAGTTCATGTACTATAAAAATTTAACCAATAAAATTACATAATTTACCGAGATACATTATCCAGTCAAAGAACAGCCTAATACAGTACTGTACTTACTGTCCAAAAGTATATAAGCATCTGTGCCGTGCTCGGAAACCATCTGATCGAGCAGGGCTGAAAATGTGTCGTAAACAAGGCTTGTAATGTTGTTGTGACTCAAGATCAACTCCTTGGGCATTCTCCCTGCAAAAGAATGTTTTGTTATGCATATTAATGTTAAATGTATTGTAAATTTTCTTGAAGTTGAAGAAAGAATTTATACTGTTGACTTGTGATTCTGAACACCATTTTATATTGGACTGGTCTCTAAATATTTTTGGAATATCTAAACGATAAATAATATATTCCTGCAAACTTTAACACTGAAATAATTGAATGTTTTCGTAAATGCTCATTATTCAGTGTATACAGAATACCTTTACTTGTGAAGTGTTACTCAGATTCTTGTCTATCTTTTCTTTATTATTTTAGAGCATGTGGTGACTGGATTTTACCACTTCAAAGTTCAGTGATGACATTTAGTTCTGCTGCTAACAACTTGCAGTATTTACTAAGTTTAGGGAGCCTGTTTTAAAGTCTAGAGGACCTGGTCACGCATTACATCATTTGTAAGTGTTTGACTAGGCACATGAACTCCAGTTTCTTTTCGTATTCTATGGTGCATTTTACTAAATAGACTGATATTGCTTAATATAGCCATGAGGTTAATCAGGACCTATATGCCTGATCTTCCTCAAGAGGGAAAACATCTCCAGATTTTCCTTACTGCAAACATTAAGATGAGTTTTTGTCTCATTAATGTCCTCAAGCTCCTTGCTTATCTGTGGCTTATCTGTGACAATTCAACAGTTTTTATTACCCATTTACTTGTGAGGACTTGATAGATTGCTAGAAAGCCCACATAGCCATCACAATTTGAATGATCAGCGAGTTTCTACAGGAGCTTGTCTAATTCACCTTAGAGAACTTACACCTTTGTTCTGGAATTATTTATTATAAATTCTGGTAGAAGATTGGAATGTGTTCTCTCTGCCAATGGGACCACTACTCTTCATAGTGCATATTTTAAATTTCCTTCTATATCTTTCACTCTAATAAATTATAGCATTTAATTATGCTCATTAGGAACTTGAATTTTGTGTCTCAATGTGTGCATGCATGCATGGATTTAATGTACATACAATGCTCCTATAAGGTGCTTATATATAAAGTATATGGAAAATTCTATCAGTCATGACTTACTTTAAAAATGTTTATCACACGCAAGTTAAATAAGTCATTTTAACCCTGTAAGCTTACCTCCAAAAGCCGAGGGTTGCACTCCTTGAGATAGTTGGTTCCAAGCCAGGTCCAGATACATATCCTCCTCATCACCAGAGAACGTCAGGCTCTCAGGCCCTAGTGACTCGGTTGTTAACTCATTGAAGGGCAAGAGCAGTCGACTCAGGTTTTGTGCTCCAGAAAAGTAATTTGCAGATATCTGTTATAACATGGAGAAATATGGGAATGTATATGTGTATTGAACTGAAATTTATGAAGGTGAGAAATGTATCCTAAGCAATAGACTTGTCAAAGTAAACAGTTAAAAATCATTTGTCTTATATTTCTTAGATGCTTAATATGTGAAATGCTGTACTGTGAAGGTGCAATTTGGTATTGGTGCATTGGCATATTTACTTGGATAGATTTTGAATTTGTTTAGTATCACTTACTGTAGTGATAGCGTTGTGGCCAAAGTCTATATAGGATACACTTGTTTCCAGTGCACCGTCTAGGCTGCCCAGCTGGTTGTTTGAGCAGTAGAGAGTTTCTAAAGCAGGCAGGGAAGCAAGCTGAAATTTATTTAATGTATTAGTTGTAAAGCAACATTAATATTGTATAATACGTTCCATAAAGTTTATTAGTAAAGTGTGTGTAATTATAATTATTTGATTTTTGAACAAAAACTGCCATCAAGGAATTTGCAGTACTTTAAACCATGTAGTGTTTTGTGATAAAACTGATGTTAATTCAGAAAGGTGAGATACTGAAGATAAATTGGTGGGTTAAAATAATAATTGGGGATGTGGTACGTTGGGTGTTGGACAGTGCCAATGTGTTTTCCCGGCTGCTTTACCAGAGGGCTTTGGAAAAACACCAACCCTGCCCAAATCAAGGGATCACTGGTCTTCTCCGAGTTATTCAGCTCTCGGGCCGAGGTACAGTAGCGGTTTGGGGGACACCATTGGCTCGAGTGAATGTTGACTTTCCCCCTTTTCTGGCTGCTTTCAGAAATTTTTTGGCACATTTCGTTTACTTGGTTCGTGTCAACCATTTTTGTGATCAGAAGTCTGCTGGTCTCATCTGGTGCCTTTAGATCACAATATTTACTTCCAATATTGGAAGTAAAGCAATATTCTCCCAAGCTGTGCATGATCCTATACATGTTGGGAATTAGTGCTCTTTGGGCTGAGTAGGGGTTTTCTCCATTGCCTCCCTTGTCAGTATGACCCTATGGGAGTGGTGGAAATGATCCCCTGTTGTGATAGTGCCAACCTGCCCAGACTGGCATCATTTGGAATGAGGCCAGCATTTCATGTACATTTAAAAGTCCATTTTTGTCTAGGTTTATGGCACACTTTAAGGATTATTTTTTTTTCTCGGGAAGTAACAGACAACCAGCTTTGACCAATGGCTGGCATTTTGACACTACCTTGCATACTATGAAAATATTTAAATATTATTTGGTCTTTTATAGAACTAAATGTGCACGTATTATCATAAAGATTGTTTAATAAGATTCACTTACCACATCGTTTTCGAGGGTTGTGAACTCTGAATTATGTTTGATGTAAAGCGTCTGAAGCCCACTTGCTGTAACATCACTAAAGACTTCCTTGCTTAGGTACACCAGGCCTGCAACAATGTTTGTAGCTATTCAGTATTTTTTTAATATTATATACAGTATAGAGCAATAGTAACAGAGAATCTAGTTTTTTAGTTTTATTGGATAAATTAGGCATACTGGTATAAAACGTCATGAAGTTTTTAACAGTAGGGAAAAAGCAATGCCTGGAAGTAGTTACAGGAAGATTCAGATTGTAATACTAACCTGTATTATAGAAACGTATGGCATCTATTAACACATCAGCAAATGCTAACGGTGGGAGATCTGTTAGGCCCGGTGAAGAGATGATGTCCACACTGCTTACATGTGTCAGCTGACAAATTATATCCAAGTATTATTGTAAATAATTGTGCTTCATTGTACAACATGCATCTTTTTTACATTTAAACTATTTTCTTATGGCTTTAAAAATAATCCCCCCCCCCCCCCCATGCTAATACCTGTGCATTTTTATAGATTTTTAATGTTAAAAGTCGAGCACAAGCACATTCCAGGTATTATCAGTCCTTCCATTAAATTGTTAAGTACGCTTCTGCATTTTTCAATTCAAATATTGTTTCTATATAAATTTTGCCATTATTCCATACCACTTTCATACTACATTCCTTCCCGGCTTGGTGCCTTCTTTGATAATTACTTTTTTTTTTTTCTCCAGTTCAGTGCTGGTTGTGCACAGCTGTAGTATTTGACTGTACAAAACAGTTGTACTCTTAGTAAAATATTCACAGCACTTCTTATGTATATAGCATTCTCAACCGGGCATACGTTACTTCAGGGGAAAGTCACAAGACAAATTGTCACGTGTTCATTCATTCCTTAACTATTTTCATTTCGTCCCATTCATTTTGACTCGTCACACCCTCAATCTCTCTAATGTACCTATACTCATTATATTGCAATATTTTGTTTAGATACAATAAATAAATTAATAATTGGTATTACAGTAGTAGAGAAAATTTCGGCCATCTAATATTTTACTAAAACAATGCAAACGAAATAAACAAAAATTCTCTCCATACCCCTAAGTTGGCAAAAATGTTTTCCATTTCGTCCCAACCAGTCACGTCCTGGCACCGTAGGGCAGGAACACCATTAGCATCTTCATGACACTGGCATGGACCAAGGTCCTCGCTAGGTGGGCACTGTGCCATACATCCCACCAGGCAATAAGCCAGTATAACTTGCTTTAATTTAGTCATCCTTGGAAACAAAAACGAAAAAAGTCAGTTCTATACATATTTCAAGAGTGGTGAAAATTAATTCAGTACTAATATTGGTGTTATAGTACCCTACATATTAATATGCATTTATTGTGGTTCTTGAGGACACATGTGACCTAGAGAAAGCACATGACACTACTTGGAGATATAATATATTAGCCCAATTACATTCTTTTGGTCTCAATGACCCTAAAGCTCATTCTTCAATGCTTTCTCTTTGGCTGTACTTTTAGGGTATGCTTTGGAACTACTGTACTGTCTCTGCCTCTTGTTTTACCAATATACAGGCATTTCCCATGTTAAACTTGGGGTTTATCTTTGATGCCTGTCATATGTCCATTACCTACAAACTGAAAGCTGCAAGGCTTTGCAAGACAATAAATGCCTCACATATTTTTCAACTTTTCCCTAAACTATTTCCTTGGACAGAGGGTTCTGAGAGTTCTACTCCCCGAGCCCGGCCTGAGGCCAGGCTCAATTTGCCATCTAACGCCTTGTATCATACAGACTTGTGGCTCTTTTTGGGGGACATTTAATTTTTTTCCAAGTCAGAGTCTTTCATATCAAAACAGGTGATCCCTTGTTACAAGACTGTTGCAAATTGTTTGAATTGCCAAATACAATTTTTGTCCATTAGTTTTGGGAGCTTCTCACCTATTTGTATTATGTACCTGACCTCCCTTATAGTATAAATCCAATATGCCCAGTACAGTCCCATCACTTGAGAATGAACGATGTAGGTTTGAAATGTGTAAATTTATAAACAGTGTAATACATTATTCTATAGTTAATTATTCTTTAAGTTTACCTCGAACAAAGATGACATTTGGAGAGATCCTCTTCCAATTAGACAAAGATGCAAGAGCACTAGTCAGAGGTATAGAAACCCTATATAAGAAAATAATCATCACAGAATATGCAGTCATATTCATTGAAAAAATCTATATTGTACACACATCACAGCACAAAATATACAGTGGATAAGTAGATACTAACTTGGTGGTGATCCTGTAAGTCTGGTGTGTACAAGAGTTTCGTCTGGCACTTTACCATATCATCTAGCATTTCATGTTGCCAACCCTCCCTCTAGTTGTACTAGTTATTATTAGGCTTATCTATGTCCTGCTCCATTACAATATTTGAACCTATTAATGTTTTTTCTGAAGGTGACAGGAAAAATTCTTTTAACATGATTTCTTAAAGCATTTTGAAACAGTAAGAAATGTTAATTAGGTTACTGGCGTTGACATGATAGCAGGCGTACCTTGCATCTGGCTGTTCCCGCGGCAATGAGAGTTCCCACATCCATTTCACGTGGGCTTTCCCAGTCACGTCTCTAGACCCTGTCGTAAGGTCAAATTTTATGCCTGCTTCTAAACCTCTTGGTAACATGTTCATTGTGGTATTTACATGATGCTGCACTTTGAATATCCATCAGTACTATGCATTCCTTTGATTGGGTTTAGGAATAGTCCCTTAATTGTTGTCATATGAACTTTCAAGTTTTTTTGTGTACAACAATTGTAAATGTATATTGTAGGCTCTGTGGTATACATTTTAATTAGAATGTACAGTATCTTTAATGCTGGAAAATGTATCCAATGAATCATGAGCACACTGACACGGTCTCGTGCACTTTTCTAGCCGAGTCAAAATGTGTACAGTATCTGGACATGGATCATGACCTGGGCTCAAGTTTCCTGGATTTTTCTTACCCAGATTTCAGTATTATCATTAATTATTGTTATTTATTTCTCCTGGGTTAAATATTTTCCTTGTAAAATGGATAGGCCTAACAAGTCATTTCTTACAGGTGACATTCTCATGATGGACGAGGAAGGTTACTTGTACTTCAAGGATCGTACAGGAGATACATTCCGCTGGAAGGGTGAAAATGTGTCGACTAATGAAGTTGAAGCAGTTATCTCCAAAGTAGCCGGTCATGCGGATGTGGTGGTGTATGGTGTTGAGGTAGGAATATGGTGTTGGCAACATGGTGTATGGTGTTGAGGTGACTATTACTGTACTTCATAATATTTTACAAATAAAATATCACACAAATTTTGTAAATTGTGCAAACATTTTATTCGCATGTGTACATTAAACAAAAATGTATGGCTGCATTTAAAATTTGCTCCAGCAAACTAAATGGGGCTGACCTGATTCTATTTCATAAGGCAACCATTTTTTTTTTTTGTGCAGATAATTCAGCGAATGATCTCCACAATTAGCATATAAGCAAACAAGAATTTCCATAAGGGCAGTAGAATAATGGTTATTAATTTCAGGTTCCTGGTGCCGAGGGTCGTGCAGGCATGGCAGCCATCTTGGATGGTGAAGTGTCTCTGAACTTAGAGGAACTTTATGCAGGGGTTATGAGGGCACTTGCTTCATATGCTCGTCCTTACTTTGTTAGGATTGCCAAGGAATTAGAAATGACTGGTAAGCTTCTCAATTATATAGTACATACAGTACCTATCTTGTTTTAATAGAACACTCATAACTTCTCTCATTTCAAATATTCCTTAGATTTTGGGTCATTGATGATAAACATATAAAAGAAAATGTTGTATTCTGTTTGGGAATACTCTACTGTATTTACAAATAGGCGAGCATTTTTTTTAGATGCATGTATGATTGATTCTCCACATAATCTTTTCCTTGTTTTTAATGGCAAGTTAAAGGGCATTTGTAATACTGTATAATTCTTATGTGCAAACTTTATACTAGTGTCGAGAAGAAAGTGGAAAATTTAGACGATTGTTAGAATTGTCCGTCAAAGACTTGATCTTTATGTTTAATAATAATATAAACAAATTGATGGATTAGCAATGGGTTCTCCATTAGTTCCCGCATTCGCTAATGCTTTTTTAAGCTTTTACGAGAGAAATTGGTTTGACAAATGTCCTCTGGGTTTTAAACCAATTATGTACAGGAAATGTGTGGATGACACTTGTTATTTAAGGACCAATCTCATGTTAAGTTTAGAGAGAACCTGTATTTTAATGCACAATATCATAATATACATTTCACTGCAGTGTGTGATATTAATAATTCTTCGTCATTTCTTGATGTGAAAGTGAGTAACCTTCATGGTTTTAACACTAAAGTTTACAGAAAACCAACTTTTACAAGTTTAGACTTAAATTTTAATGCATTTGTTTCTGATATTTTTAAGAAAATGCAATTAATACTCTGCTGAACAGAGCCTTTGTATTATGCTCAAATTGGTCCAACTTTGATCAAGAAATTAATTTTATTGTGAATTTTTTTTTCAAATAATGGTTACCCTGCTTATATGATGTATACTTTTATAAGGAATTTCTTAAAAAAAAGGAGTTTCATTCTTTTTGTAAGATTACTACGGTAGAAAGGGATATTAAATGCATCAAATTATCCTTTTACGGCACCATTAGTTTTTCTGTAAGAAGTTGATTGAGGAAGCTTTTTCAACATTGTTATCCTCAGGTACCTTACCTTGAGGTGCTTCCGGGGCTTAGCGTCCCCGCGGCCCGGTCGTCGACCAGGCCTCGACTTTAAATTTATTTTTGTGAATGCAAATACCATAGGCTCCTATTTTAAATTTAAAGATAAAGTCTCTCCCCCCCCACCCCACCCCCATTATGCCCTAGTATCATATACAGTGTATATGTATAAATGTTCCAGCTGTAATGCTGGATACATCAGAAGTTCCATTCGGGAACTATAAGATTAGGATACTAGAGCACCAGAAATATCATTTAGGATTGGCTTATCATGATCAAACCGGCATTCTCAGAGATTAGAAATAATTGTAATGAGGCGAATCATTCTCTGCCTGAATCCGATTTTAAAATTTTAGACACTTGCATGAATGGCCAGTCAGATTTGAGAATAATGGAATCCCTATATATCAGGGAGCTGCGACCTCCGCTAAATATTAACGTTTCAGCTGCTTAGTTGTACACTGTATTCATAGTGGGCCTTTTGTTTTAATTTATAATTGTTTTAATACTGATGTCTTTATTAATTGCTTTAGTTTCCCCCTGATTTGTCCTTGATACTCATTTCGAATGATAACATTTTGTACTGTTGTATTTGTTTAATTAGGACATGTAATACTGTACAACATTTTGTGATCAGTTTTTTGCGATATTTGTTTCTTACAAGGTGTCTAACTGGTAATCTATAAGTGTTTTATATTATTTTTTTTATACAAGTTATATATTAGGTTGTTATTATAGACACACTCACTATACAAACATTGTTGCAGGAAATACTTAAATGATGCAGGTTTTATTAATTTTTTTAAGCAATTTAAACAATTCAGTGTTGAGAACTTATCAGATGAAATATACATTTCTCTAATCACATTTCTCATTCATTGCTTTTCAGGAACTTACAAGCTTAAGAAAATTGCCATCCAAAAAGAAGGCTTTAACCCAAATGTCATCAAGGACAAGATATACTTCTTGGACGCCAAGAAAAAGGAATATGTTCCACTAACAATTGATCTTTATGACAAGATTGTCAGTGGAGAAGTCAGATTTTAGGCTAATAGGATTTGCATTCTTAGAAAAGTTTTAAAGCAGCTTTGGTGCACATCTGTTGTAACTTAACATTTGACTTGTAAGGTTAATATCACGTTCAGGTTCAAGCCGTCGCTAGTGAAACTTGACC